GAGAAAGAGGCCAGAAACCTCTTAAAGGCTGCAAACAAAATGCAGTTTGGGTTCAGGGCTAATTGTGGTACCATGTTCTGCCCTCACATGATAACTCCAATTTCAGCTGGAAAGAAAAATCCTATAAAAAGTGACTGATTTGATTTGTCTCCTCATGTGGCTTTACAATATTTCTCCAGATTTGCGTATACAGAGGGGACGAGAAGCAGACATCCCAAAAGTGTCAAGCACTGGGTGTGTTTTAAACACGAATAAAAATTTGGTCAATTCAAATCTCGATTCACCAGGAAAAGCATGTCTGGATTTTTTTTTTAAGAGGGTAGGATTGACAGGTGAGGGGAAAGAAAATTAATGTGAAACCAAACAAGTCTATAAAGAGAAGTTAATTTAGTTACAGATAAAACATAAGTATAGGGTGAAATATTTTTCGTTCTTTTTTTTTTTGGTAGGAAAAAAACTACAACAGAAATAAATCATAATTTTGGGGGGAGTGGGGAGGAGAGAAAAAATAATAATGAAGTGACTAGTCAAAAGCACCGAACAAAACCAAATGGTATTAAAACATTTTGACTCCCGGCAAGCCGCTGCTCTGAATGAGGTGAGAAGGCGGACATTATTGGCATTTTGGCGAGACAGGACACCATTTCCGTCTTACTCCAAAATGAACAGGAGGGGGAGGGAGAAAACAGGGCCAAAATAATGTGCAGCCTCATTGTATTCGTAGTGAAGATTAGATTACACCCTGTTGTTCTTGCCCCAAACAGGTCTGGAGTCTTTCCTTCCTTGTTGGGTTCTCCCACTAGCTCTAACTGGGATGATTTGGGTCTTCTTCCCCATTTTCCCCCTCTGATAATTCCTCTTTTTTCGCTTCCTTCCTTGGCTGTTCATATTTAAAGCAAACAAAATCAAGCCGTCTAAACTCTTCGGGATGTGGCAAATTGCATTTTAAAAACCGATCGCTAAGTCTAACTTTGAGGCCCACATCCTGGTTTCCGAATTTAAATGTGTGCGACAGGCGAAACCAAATCATCTACAACACCGCGCAGATACCAAATGCCACTGCTTCCCGGACTCTGCCGTTTCCGGACATGGGGAGGGAAGCGTGGGTCTTTGTGAACTGGAAGCGGGGTTTTCAGCAAGGTGTAATCTAAAATTTCCCCCCCTAAAAAACAAAGAGAACAGCGATGCGAAAGGGGAAAAGAAAAAAAGAAAAAACCAACATCAACCAAGGCATATAACACAGAAGCAGGCCACAATTTTCAAAAACCACACATAGCACAGTGTTCCTGCAGAGCACCCTTTGGAATAATTGTGCCAGACCTAGTTGTATTTCCTGGAAGCTCTTGAGAAATCCTTCTGCAGAAACAGAGTGTTAATTTCATTGGACAGTAATTTTTTAATTTTTTAAAAAACAGAATTTCAAAGCAGGCTGTCTGAAAGAACAGAGGGCATCCACTTAGCCCTGTAAACAATATTCTCTCTCTCTCTCTTTCTCTCTCTCTTTCTCTCTCTGAATACAAGGATGGAGATGATTTAAGATTTTAGAAATGATCTCGGTCTCTCCGTGTCTCCCTGAGTTCCAGAGCTCAGGGAAGGGAAAATTAAAAATAATAATAATAGTAATACTTAAAAAGCGGGATCTAAAAAGATCTGCTTGGCGTGGGACTGTTTGCTTCTCTCGGCTTGCCAAGTGTGAGATGCCCCACACTTTCGGTGTTCCTCACCGTGAGCAACCAGCGAAAAGCCCTTCGATATTTTCTCAAACAATGAGATTGTAGCTGAAATTCAAATAGTTCTGGACCAGGGGAGAAATTAAGAAACCAACAGGGGGGAAAAAAACGGAGAAGATGCCCAGATAAAAATGAGGCCTAGGGAAGACAGACTAACTGGTTGCAGAAGGTGTTCGATTAGATGGAGTGGCAGTTCCACCCAAGGAGACCCTCTTCCTTTCAAACTGGAGTTTAATTTCCACATCCACCCATGTGTGGCAGTGCCCCAGCACATGGCAGGCGATCTGAGGAGGCATTCTGGGGTCCTCACTCCATTCTCGAGTGACCCACTTGTATACTGGGAGGTGGAGAACCTCTGGCCCAAATTTAAAAAAAAAACTAATAATAAAGGAAAAATTCCTTGCATGCTGAAAACTAGTTGACACACTTTCCTGATATCCTCTATGACATGCTACATTTCTACATGCAGGGATTTTTTATTTTTATTTTTTAGTTAACAAAAGAGGGGGAAACGAGAACATCTCCAACCTCAACAGTATTAACTTAGATTATTTTGTCAAGTTAAACCATAAAATTACGTGAATTTAAAAAACCCTACCCATAGGCTTGCCAAGGGGGCCTCTCTATCAGGTCATTTGGATGAGTGTGAAATTGTTGAGATGGAGTGGCTACCTTGTCTCGCCAAGGAAGAAAGGAGAAATGGAGCAAACACCTTATGTTATGAATAGTTTTGTTGTTGTTATGCTGTCCTACAAGTTTTTTGGGGGTCTGGGGTGTGGGTTAAGAACCCTAAAGAAGCTGTTCAACTAACGCTTCTATGGGCACCACACTCTCAAGACCTTGGAAATGAATGGTGGGCTTGCAGTGAAAGCCCGAATTTTTATCACGGGCGTCTAAGCCTGGAAACCTCACCAACCAAAGAGAAACTGAGGCAGAGAGAGAAAGGAGGAAAACGGAAGGAAGGAGGGAAGGAAAGAAAGAAAGAAGGAAGGAAGAAAGGAAGGGAGGAAAGAAGGAAGGAAGGAAGTGTGAAGGGGAGAAAAAGAGAGAGAGAAAGTAGGAGAGAGAAAGAAATGATAATAATAATAATATCATCACAAGACAGATAACTCTCAAGGTTGCACCGGATTTCTCAAATAAAGAAATAAAATAAAGAACACGTAAATCACACAGCTTTAATTCCTGTATGTCGAGAGTTTAAAAAGTTTAAAAGGCCATTCTATTTTTAAAAACTTGTTATTAAAGAAACAGGAGTCATAGTGGAAGAAACGAAGCAGGGAACGGGGGTTTCTCGTTGGCATTTGGGGTGCAGAATCAGGCCAGATTGTGGTGGGTGGTTCCTAGGGAATGTGTGAAGAAATGGCCACCCATAATATGTGCCCCTGTGTAGATGCAAACATTTAAGGCCATATTCCGGGGGGGTGGGGGTGGGAATATAAGAGCTGCCATCTTTCCTCCCATGAAAGACCCTTGTCTAGACCCTCTTTCCATTCCATGCAGTTAATATTTTCACATTACTGACTGGTGTGAGGACCTTTGAAAGACTGTTCTCTAATAAAAACAGAGGCAGGCGCAGAACAATTAAGTAGAAATACTGCCGTTGGATAACTGTGGCTGTTGAAGGTTGGCTGGCCGCCATTTTTTTCTGGGTGAATTTTCTCTCCGACCCATCGAGGTAACCTGAAGAGCCCCTGAAATTTCTTCTAGGCTCATTAATAGTAGATTTAAAGGGGAAAAATTCTACATTAACTCAATGCATTCCCAAGCCGGGCGCTTCAACTGCACTTTATGGAGAATAAAAGCTGTGCTGATATCTAAAGGATTTAGGTGCTATCATCATTAGAGGCGGTGGGGAAAATCATTCAAAAATATCCGTTAACAGCGTTTTAAAATTTCAAATCAATGAATGGGGGTTCAGACACGGACTTTTCCGGGCATTCGTTTCAATGCCCGCTTATAGGGATTGTTAAGTTCACTTTTAGATACGGAGTCAAGAACCAGGGCACACTCGTTATTACGGGGCAGTTAATACTGATTAAGACAGAGTTCTTCCTGCAGAAAGTGAAAGAAAAGGAAATGAAATAAAATAGGATTTGGAAATAATAATAATGTTTACTACTACTACTATTTCCAAATTTCTACTTGGCCTAGAAATATTCTGCAAAATTCAGATTCATTAGGATTTAAATTGATCAACGAATGACCTCTGTCTGATTTTGAAATTTGTGCATTTTTTAAAAAAAAGTTGGCTGAAGAGTGGTTGGGATTTTCTGGTTTTTAAGGCTCAGCCCTCCACCCTCTTTCAAACAGAGATTAGAACTGTGTGATTCTGTCACTTTGGATCAGAGAGAACTGAAGTTTATCCAAGGGACGGGGAAAAGGGGAAGACAGATTTGAAAATAGGTTAGGGGAGCAGGAACACTGGCTTTTCCAACAATGCAATTGGGATAAAATTACGGCATAACCAAGAGAAACCAACAAATGGGGGTGGGTGGGGGGTGGGGGAAAAAAGAGAGAAAAAAGAAAAGCAAAAAAAAAAAAAATCCAACTAAAACTGAAAACTTTTCTTTTTTTTTCTTTTTTGGAAAAAAAAAAGAGGAACAAACCGGGGCAAAAAAGAAAAAGAAAATCCACATGAAACTGAAACAAACGAAACCAAGATTCTTCAAAAATTATAGTTCTATATATAGAGAGAGGATAAGAGATAAAAGCACACAGGTACACAAATTGGAATTTAAAAAAGTAGAATTAAACCATCGGAAGGGGGGAAAAAGTAAATCTGAACAAAACAAGAATCATATGAATCCGTCCCAAAAGAAAAAAAAATTAAAGGATCAGCATGCAGATTTCGCCGTTTTAGACATTCTTCCGTCATGCATCAGGCCCAAACGTCCATACAGCAAGGTAACCATTACGACAGAAAAATGCACATAACGCAGCAACATTACCAACGGATGCAGAGAAAGGCCCACAATGCAACTCAACTCATCACCGACGAGACCCAAGAACGAGCGGATCTCGGTTGTAATCTTTTTTTTTATTTTTGTTAAATATATTTATATTTATATATATATATATATAGGTAGAAAGATATAGAGATTTCTTGCTTTCTTTCTCTCTCTTTTTTTGGTTCAATTTCAATCATATTTGCAATTTTCTTTTTCAATAGGAAAAAAAAGATATCGATCATATAGATATATTTCTCTCTTTTTAAGAAATGTAAAAATGTGGGTATAAAGAAAGTAAAAAAAGAAAAAAAAACACACCAACCTTCTCGTAGCTCTGAGGGATGTTAAGGGGATTTTGATGCAGAACACAATGACATGAGGAGAAGAGAGAAAAATAGGGGAAACACAGAGAGAGTAAAAAAAGGCCTCCACGCTGGCAACTGCAAACTGACTTTGCTTTCGCTTTTCCGTCTTTAACTAAAAAAAAATTATAATAATACTCTTTCTCTTTTTTTTTTCCTTTTTTGGAAAATGTTTAGAATTCGCCCCGCGGCTCGGAATCCCGTTCCTCCGAACCCCCTTTGTTCCAGCCCGTCAGGACCACCGAGAAGATTACGGCCAACTTTTTGTTAAAGACCTGGGGTTTTTTTTTCAGGGGGTTGTTTAAAGAAGGTTCCAGCACTGTGCTCGGCCAATTTCGCAGTGCACTGCCCATCGCTTGAGAGCGCCCCCACCTGGAGACCGTAAAATCCCCATTGGCAGCCCCGGGGTCCACCCCTTGCCCCAAACCTACCCAGCCACCCCCCCGACTGAAGGAAAGATTAGAATGTACATTTTGCCCCCAAATCCATTTCCCGTCCTCCCGCAACCCCCCTTTGATGTTCTCACCACTGCTCTTCGGACATTCTTCGAAATATTTCGGCCGGTTGGCCTCAAGAAGTACACCGAAACCCCAAGATGGCTCAAGGCATGTCCTCACTGGGTTTTCGCTGGGAGTTGAATAATGAGGATTCAGGGTGACCCCCCCTTTTTTTTGCTGACCACCGTAAAGATCCACCCCTGGTGCTGTAAATTTACATTTTGCAGCAGACTACAGGGTAGGTGTGGATAAAGGAAATCTCCCCCACAATCCGCGGTGGGAGAACGGCTGCAAAAACCCAAACCCAAGTCGGCCCATTGTCTGTTTCTGTGGCTCGTGTGGGCGCCGTTTCTCGTGCTCCTGGGCTTAGCCCCAAACGGGGGAACCTGTGTGGACATGCCTTAAAACCACAACTTTTCTGACTTGGCTTATCTCTTGTTCCCATCCAAACTTATTCATAAACAAACAAACAAAAAGTGGGGGGGGGGTTGCACCTTAGATCCTGACCCACCCCCGATAATTATTTAGAGACACAGGCATGTCATGGGAGAAATAATTCAAAAACAAAAAAGCAAAACTAAACAAAACCAGCAAGCGTGTTCAACACTTTTTGGAAAGCAACAACAACAGAAGGAAAAGCAGTGGACAGAACCCGCATCCCAACGACACATGGCATCCCCCCCACTTCACCCCACCTTTTCCCCAGAAGGAACACATTCAAATCTTGTTCCCCATCCTCATTTGGGGAATGATTAAGATAAAGAAGAAGAGAAAAGTTATTAAAAACAGCATTACAGCCAGCCAATCAAGCGAGCTTCCATATATTCCTAAACCCCCCCCCCCCCCGGAGATCCTAAATGCCATAGGCATGTAGGAAGTTTGAAAGTCATCAATTTTTTTAAAAAAAGCACAACTGTGTCTGAAAAAAATGGAAGAAGCAAATTTTGCCATTACAGTTGGTTGTTTGAGGTTGGGACAGCTCGATTTTTAATCACCTCTTTTCTGAATGTAAGCGATTCACCCTGGCAGTTATTGTTCTAACATGATATAATGCCGGTCTTGTGCCACAAGGTGACGCTAGCATGGAATAAACTCCGCTAAAACCATTGGTTTTTAGGACGGGAATCTATCAAAATTTTAGGAAACTCCCCCATTTGGCTGTAGACTAATAGGACACACAAGTCCAGTTTCATGATAGAATGAAGATAATTCACATCAAATTAGAAACCACAGAGAAGAAAATAGAAAAGAAAGAAGAAACCCATAGATTTGTGGATTGTATGAACTCAGCGTTAAAAATTTAACAATCTTGGAGACAAACAATGAAATAAGGTTTCCTTTGGCATAACAGCAGATGTTAATATTTTATGTTGCAGGGTGCCAATCCAAAAGTTGAGACAAACATTTGCATAACAGACGGGGCGTGTCCTTCCCCAACTCCTCTTTTTGGCCAGATAGTCACGAAAAGGCAAGTAACAAAGAAAAACCTTCTCTTAAAAAACACACACCAGTCAGTGTTAAAGAACAAAGAAATAAATGAAAAACAGCACTGTTAGGCACGCCCCTCAAATGAGATAGAAATTGTGACAGATGTTTCGTCTGTACGGTGCCGATATGACTTCGTATTCATTAAGCTGAAGGGAATGCCTAGCATGTATTGGTATGTGCCAGGGATGTCAATAGCGCCAATGGCACAAACAGGAAAACAAGGACATCATCAAACATTTCAGAGACCACCACATCACATTTCTGCTCAGCCAATCATCTGCTGTGTGGAACTTTTTTTTGGTGAGGAGAGGGAAACTATTAAAACTGGATGCTGTGGCCCTCTCTTTTTACAACTGAAGAAGCATATTTAGGTATATATACACCCCAGTACCAATCTAGTCCTTAACACGAAGACAAGAAAGCGGGGTCCATGTTGTTTTCATGAGAAATGAGCATTTCAGACGGGCTGGAAACTCATAATTAAAGGGGAGCAAGTGAACCATTACTGGCTTTGGAAAATTGGTGGTGGTGTTGGAATAACAGGACTTCTCTTCCAAAATATTCAGAAGAACCATTACCACTCCTATTCCTTTCCTGGTTTTGATCTGGCTCATTTCTTGGTGAATCGTTTGAGGAGGAAATGTGCAGCTAATTTGATACCTATGGCTTCAAATCTAACCCAACCAGCACCTGTGTTTTTTTTTTTTTTAATTTTGGTCTTTGGCGTTATAAAACATATGTCCCTTCAAAGCGAACTTCTGTTGACCTGACTCTAGTGGAGAAGTCTTCCCGCTTGAACAGATCCCTTAAACCAATAGGTAATAGGTTTCTACAATGACAGAGGTTAACACGTTCAAGAAACAGCCCTTAACATTTTTTGGGAACCAACAGGTGTTCTGGGTCCTTTCCATCAAAAACACAACCAAACCAAGTTTTTTTATGCACCACAGTGGCACAGAGTGTTGTCCGAACTGATTTTCGTATGTCCGCCTTCAATCCACACCCCAAACCATAATCACATATGTGTCCTGTTTGGTTTCTGGGAAGTTTCATTATGGAGTTATGGACTATTCCCAAGTTAAACCAAGAAAGCTAAAATAGGAAGCCATTGAACCAAGGCCAACCTCGCAAGCTTTATAATGTTGCAAAGCAGAGCCTGAAAGGGGGGGTCAGCTTTCTGTTTGAAAATCTGAGATCCCAGGGATCTTCCCAAATGTATTCAAAATTACAGGGAGGCACCCATCCACTACCCCCTTGCTAAATTCAGCGCTAATGTTTTGGGCTGTGCATTTTGAAATACGTCTCTCTTCATTGCAAAAAATAAAATAAAATAGAAATACTGTAAATATGAAGCCAACCTATCCTTTACTTTGAGGAAAAAGAAGGGGGGCCGTGATGGAGTCATGCAGAACTAATGGGTGAAGAGTTTTTTGGGGGAGGGATTTTTTTTTCATCAAAGAAAGGGTTCCAGACATTTGATTTGCAAAACGAGCCCAAACCAGTTGGGTAGGAGCTGAAGCAGTCTTGACCATTAAAGGCTCCTCCTCCACCAGCGATTCCATTTAGGGGAGGCAGGAAGAGCAATGAAGCTGCTCCCTTGGGAACCTACCCTTTGGACAAGACCGCCAAGCATTTCAGGACCCTGGAAAGCTCCTTCTAAAAGTTTGGACCAGAATGGCAAAGAGGGATGTAATTCTAGGACAGGGGTCTCAAACTCAATTTACCAGGGGGCCGCTGGAGGCAGAGTCTGGGTGAGGCTGAGCCGCATCAGATTTTCCGCCAAGCGGAGCGGGAGCCAGAGGAAGCCGCCCAGGAGTTTCCTTAACCTGGCTGGGGCTCCGAGGAGGAGGGGTGTGCGAGCCCTGATCGCCAGCCACGACCCCCTCACCGGCTCCTTCTTCACTACCACCACCAACAGCAGCAGCAGGACGAAGAAGCGGAGGAGGGAGCGCCAGCGACCTCCTAGCCACCCCACACGGGGGGGGGGGGGGGGACGACGACTTAAAATAAAAAACCGTCACAGAATCGCCTTGCCAGAGGAGAAAAGCCCCCATTGGTACCTGCGAAATTAAACAAAATGGGGCGGGGGGGGCCACAGTTGTGTGCGCACGCACGCACGCACACAGAGGCCCTGTCTTGGGAGAGAGCCGGCAAGTGAGGCGAGGCTTTTGTTTTGAATTCTTGACAGCAGAGGACATGTGGGCGCTTTGGGGGGCAGGCAAGGCGGGGGCCACAAACTATCATCCGGCGGGCTGCATATGGCCCCTGGGCCGCATGTTTGAGACCCCTGTTCTAGGACATTCGGTGGGATTCCCGGGGAGCGATGGGGCCTTATTTTCTGCTCCCCGGCTGATCAATGAGCCATCAGCCTCAGCTACCCTTACAGTGAACCATCTCCATAAAGATTCAAGAATCCAGGAAATCTCGACTGGTCTAAACACGGCTTTGGACCCATGATTTTCACACTTCACTGCAACCTCTCACACCCAGTTGCTGGCTGGCTGGGGTGGACAGAATCGATCCAGGGCTGAGGATTTAATTCGGAACTAAAAGGAAAGATTTGTTTAATTCCTCATCTTCGTCGGACGGGAGGGTGGGAATTGGCCCCGTTGTCAGCATTTTGTCCAGAATTTAAAGGCAGCGGCTGTCGGAGGCCTGCGCAAGGGAGGGATAAACCCAGAATTTAAACTTTAATTCGCAACTTAAAAGTGAGAGGTTCAGGTTGAGAGCTGGATACGTGGGTCTACTCGGACATTGGCTACTTAGGGGAAGGAACAGAGGAGAGGCAGCTCCATTTCTCAGACTGGGGGTACCATATCATTTGGCCCACTTTTTGAGAGAGCCATCCTGGCCCGGCTGGGGTGGCTCCCGCTTCCGCCATGGGCGAGTCGGACACCCTTCGGCCCCTTCCCAAGACGGCTTCATTGCCAACCTTCAACCCTTCTAGAAAGATAACAACAGAGTGACGCCGCAGAAGGCCCTCCAGGGGGTGTACATAGAGTTGCATTTTCCCATTCTGGCGAGTCACGGCGCTCCCTACCTCTCACGTATAGGTTAGCAGGTGAAGAGTAGCGCACGCCGGCGCTGTTGCTTGCCACGCACTCGTACTTCCCTTGGTCCGTCTCCTCACTGCTGTCGATCTGGAGGCCGCCTAGAAGAGCGGGGAGAGAGAAAGAAAAAGGAAAAGAGAGGAGGAGATGCCAAGAAAGATGTTAATTTCAGGGACCGAGGGAAGGGGGAGTGAAACGCTCAACTCAGCCTTCTCCGAACCAGCTCCCCGCCTGCTTTTCCACTACCTCTCTCATCGTTCCTAGCTGGGGCCAAGGCAGCTTGTTCGCCCGCAGACATCTGAAGGGTGTCAAGCTGCAAAAGGGTGCTTTTACCCCTCCCTCAAAATCATCCTTCCGGGATGCACCCGGGGCCCACATTTCTTACGTACCTCCAGCAGTCTATTAAAAAGAGTGCTTTACACACACCCATATCTGATTACGTTCAATGAAACGTATTCCCCTGTACAAAATCCCTATTTGTGGACGGCTGGATTATGGCTAAGAACCTGACCTTCGGGTCCCAGGTGACGTTAAACCATCTTTCAGCCTTGAATACTTAAAATATGGACACGGGGCAATTCCTCCAGCCCATCAGCTCAATCCCTGGGCTGCCTCTGTCAAACGCCCATTGGTCCTTACATCACCATTTTTCTTCTCAGGAACGGCATCCAGTCTGCTTCCATGGCTCTTTACTACCCCAGATATGTGGGGGTCTAGTTGTAGGTGGGTGTGAAGTCTATGCCTCTTGTTCCAGGGGATCTGAGAGACATACCCCAAGGAAGGTTTTCCCTTTCTGAAGACCAGCCCAAACCTTTCATTCCATCGGCATCAACCGTAATGTTTTTCAACATTCCACAGCTGGCTCTGATGGGCCCTCACCTCTCCGGACGTTCAGCCCATGATGGGAAAGAACTCCCAGGTGAGCGACAGCCTCAAACCTGTGTCGACTCCTTCCCCGACACAACAGACACCGCAGTGAGGTAGGACAGTATACTCAAGAGTTGGAACCAGTAGTTTTGACCCCAGGTGTGTGTGTGCAATCAGCACTGTCTCCTCCATGCTGGAGCAAGCCTTTATTAGCCAGCAAGGAACATGTCTAACTTCCCAATCTGTCCAATCGCTTAATGGGATTGCTAGCTTAAACGATCTTTGGTCTGATCCAGCAGGGTTCTTACGGGCAGGAGAGCAAAACAAAGCCTCCATCTACAAGAGCAGTCTACCTCAGATTACTAAATCCTTCGGACTACCTACAATGGGAGCCCTTTCTGCATTTGTGTCCTGGATGTAGATCTTGTTACCTGCTGTCCGATAAGGATACCGAAGCAGGCAGGCCTTTGATCTAATTCAGTCCTTTTTTTTGGTCTTTAATCCATCAAGAGATATTATCTTCTTCTTCCCCCCTCTCCCGGCAGAAAAATAAACCGTGATTTCATTAAATGTCCCCCTTTTGCATGTTCTGGATCACAGCTGAGGATCATATTAAACCTCACCACCTTGTCAGAATGTGAAGAAAAATGGTTATTATCATTATCAGGTATTGCTATTATTATTTTAAAGATAACCAGCAACAGAGATACAGCTCCAGGTTTTGCAGCTACAAAAAAGTGTAGTTTTCAAAGGCATGTGATAAATTCCAAATGGGCAGAGAAGTCGGAAAATCTTCTTATAGATTTTGATCCCAGAAAGGAACAGGCTGGAATCTATCCAGCAACAAGGAGATAAAAAATATATATAGAGAGAGATAATTTATACCAGTGTTAAAAATAAAAAGACAGAACTGAGTGGAGTAAATAAATTGGAAGGTATGGGAGAGCAGACACAGGATGACAAGACAGGAGGCAGAAGAAATTGGGGGGGGGGGGGGGAGATATCCACAACAGTGAAACATGGACAGAACTCCAGCTTGAAAAAAATCGCACAACCACACAGAACTGGTTATAATCAAGGGGTAAAAACGAGTCATTTGGGAAAGGATCAAGTATGTGCTAGTTGTGCGTTCAGATCTGCGCACAGCTTTGCTTACCTCGAATTGGAGTACCTTCTGTAAGTAAAAAAGCAAAAAAAAAAAAGAGGAAACAAACAAAAGAAGAACAGAAGTGAAAAAACAAGTTGGAACACTAACCCGGGGAGTTTTCAGGACACACCAGTGGGAGGAAGGAGCGCAGTGCAGAGGGAAGACTATTCCTGGCTGGAGAGGCTCTCCATGTTGCTTTGTGACCAAGAATAAAGGTGTAAGGACATGGGGCTGTTTAAGATGGGTTGGGTCTTGGTGTTCAACCTTGTACAATGATGCACGCATTTGAGAAAGAAGAGTTTCTCATTTTGCAGAAAGAATAGAGGAAGGGTCTTAATTTTATTTAAGAACATTTGTTTTGGAAGTTGAGGTTTCAAGGAAGGTTCAATCCAGGAAGGCTCAGGAAAGAACAGCGCTCGGAAACAACACGTCAGATGCAATGGGTTAGTGTCACAGGTGGTCTTTTGGATGAAACAGAAAAATGCAGCTTCGAAAGGGCATTCCCAGAGTTCACCTGAAAATATTTGTTTTAAAAATCCCAAACGAAACCTTCTGGGATGTGTGGGCCGTTAAAAGCAAAAAAAGAGGAACGATTTGGGCTGTTCACACGTTAAATCTAATGCATTGTTTCCGAGCGCTGGAACAGGCCTGGAGGAACTGCTGACCGGGGGCAGAAGGAATGATCCGATTCGGCACGAGATGAGCTCTGAGTTAAAACCAACCCTTTATCAAGAAGCAGCCTCCATTCTGGAGCGACAGGGTGGAGAGAGTTGATTTGGGGTTTTCGGGCAATGAGGCCGATGGGATCCCCATTTGTTGGGACCCGTGCCAGCCTGGAAGGGGGTCATGAGCCCCACCACCAGCCGGTGACCTGCAGATTTGGCTTTATTCAACCTTACATGCCAAAATAGCATAGGGAGGGGCTATACTGTTGTAATCCAATCCATGGCCTCTCCAGAAAGGAAAGGGGCGAGAAAGATAATTAACTCTCCGAAAACAAACACCCCAAAGCCTGTTTGGGTTAGACCCACAACATCCGATGTCTCTATTCTTAAAAGCCCTACTATTTTGGACAACCAGATTAATGGGGTTAGGTATGCCATGATGGCATTCTACACGTAACCAGGTGCACTGTGACTCACTATTTTATTTATTAGATTTTTATTTATTTATTTAGGATAGCACAAATGGATATCAGCATCTTCCACCCTCCAACTCATAGCCTCTCGTTGTCATCCAGGTAGCCTGGAAGTCATCTTCCTTTCAAAACTACACAGCGAGGTCCTTTACCCCACTGGCGTTCCAAGAATTTTTTTTGTCAATCAAGAAAGGTAGGTTATTTCACTCTCTAGAGTTTTACCTCAATCCTGGAAACAGAACAAGAGTTGATCTCTAAAACTCAGTCTCTCTGTGAGAGAAAGGAACTGTACCGTCTTCCATCTTTATGTAATTTTCAAATATCTCTTTCGCAACAGGACCAAGGTCACCCAACCAAATCTGTGGCAGAGACCCCAATTTCATCTTCTTTCCACCTAAGTCATCTGCTTTCAAATGTTATCCCCCACACACACATTAAAATTCTTAAATATCCTTCTCTCCAACATTAAACACTCTGTTTTCAGGATAAAAGGTAAACTATAACTTGGTTATTATATAGTATTAGTCGCCGTCAGTTGGATGGGAAGAGGAGGAAACTGTTACGTGGTTAAAGCTGGTTAAAAAGATCTAGTTAAAGTCAGCTTCTGGCAAGTGGAAAGGTTAAGGAAGTTTAAAGGAAAGGTGTTAGCATCTAGTTAAGGGGACTAGCTAGTTATGTGTTAATAAAAGCAGGGCTACATAGCCAAGAGGAGACAGTTCAGAAAGGAGGAGAGGTAAATTAAGTTGGGCTAGATTTTGCTAAAGGAACAGCTCAGTGGCTTTTAAAGACAGCAAAAGAGAGAGAGAGAGAGAGCGAAGAACAGGGTGTGTGTTAAACAGAGGGTTACGGAGTTTATTCAGTGGAAACAGAACAGCCTCAAACATACCCTTCTGTCTCAGAAAAATAAAAATAAAACTCAAAGAGTGGAATAATCATTGTAATAAAAATCTACCATCTGTGACAGATCCCGGGAGACTTTTTGGAACAAGAGTGAATAAGGACAGCATCAAGGGGGAGGGTTTGGTCTATAGGGTACTGGCTTGGATGGGAGACATGTTAGAACAATTTGTGGGGTATTTACTCCCCCCATAGGAGCTAATTGCTCAAAGCTTTTGGGGAACGATCCAGGTCCAAATGGCAAAACCAGGAGCTGAGCTGCGCAGTAGGAGAGAAAATTTGAGTTATTAATTGATACCATTCATACTAGGAATGGGCGGGGATGCGAACGCATCCCAGATTGAAACCATCTGATTCTGACTCAATTATTATGAACAGAAGCAGAAGGGCCGAATCCGGTCCCAAAGCAAAAGGGGATTGGCCACTTGATTCAGAGGTGGCGCATAAAATCAATTTGGATGAGGAACGTATTTCTACAGCCTACAAGGTTATTTTGTAAAGTAAACTTTAGCATGAAAATTCCTGAACCTATCGGTCTGAAATTTAGTCAGCTGTGTCCCCCCCCTTCTTTTGGATCTATTATGTCTCCTCATTTCCGAAAGATCGGTGTAAAACCAACAAAGATAGTCATTTTTGGTTTTTCAAATAAGCAAATGCCCAGGTTTTTCACGATTACAAAGCAGTCTGGATTCGGGTACAATGTGCGGAGAAGAGGGAGGCCAGAGGGAACCCACACACAGATCTAAATTTGGGATCCAGTGCTGTACTTTCCTCTGTTTTGCAACTGGGCTTCTTCAAATTCATTTGGGTTTTTTTTCAGCCAACACGTCCCATCTGCCCCAGCCAGGAGAGTCAAAGGTGGGAATAAGAGAGTCTAAAGATTAGGGATGAAATCTTCGGACTGTTCAGACAAATCCCAGCATTCCCCCAGGCGGAGAGATACGCGACTGTGGCTCGCCTGGAAGAAAGGCCTAGACTAAACCGAAAGGCTTTGAGGCCTAGCTTCCTTTCTGAACAGGAAGCTTGAGTGGAGGCTAGGCCTAGCTAAGACTCCGAGCCTTCCAGCTAGGTGAGCAACAGTGAGGTGTCAATAAAGTGTGTGCTGGGCAGGCAGAACTCCCAGAAGGGAGAATTCTGGGATTTGTAGTCTAAGGAATCCAAAAATCCCATCTCTACTAAATGCGTGCTGTAATGCCCATAATTGGTAACCTGGGTTTTTGATTAGAGGCACATTCTCAAGGTGCACATAAGGATCATCTAGTCTGAGGGATGGGGAGCTATCCGAAACAAGGGATTAAAACAAGAGTGAGGGGAGAGAGATAAAAGAGTGGGATAGTAAGACACAGATGGTAGATTTTTCTCCCCCTTGCCTGGTTGGAGTTTCACATCTAAGAAGCCCAAAAACCCAGATTTTTTTTTTGTAAGGTGGGGAAGAGAGGCAGTCCAGCCCCAAAAGATGGGGTGGTGCACATCAATGCACTCTGCACGCACTCAAGGGAACACTTTTGCAGTTGTCATTCCACAGACCCCCCTCCCCTGGGAAGGGAGACATCTGATTTAAAAGCAGAGATTTGAAGCCCCCCCGGGAAAGGGGAGAGGACACTTGGCTTTTATCAGAGGGGGAGTGAAAACACAAAAGATCGGGGGGAAAGAGGGGGAGATTAGGAAAGGCCATATCTCCATGGTAACCACAGGAAGACAGTCCCCCCCAGAAGGCCGCACACATCTGCCGGCAGAATTCTCCTGAGAAATGGCGCGTGCATGCGTGCGCAGTTTGTGTGTCTCAGCGGTGTGTCAAGTGCGCTCTTCAAAACAAGAAAAACCCCACCCAACCCCTCTTCAGGGCGTCTCCCGCAGAGGCCACGGCTGACATCATGCACCATGGAAATGGAGGGCGCGCCACGGAAGAGATGTCGAGCGTGGGGGCCCACAGAAAACATTTAAACCATGCCTAATTAGAAGATACACCCATGTCACACAACGGGCAGAGAAGCCTTCAAGCCCTCAGGGATGCCACTAGACTCCGGGTCCCATCCTCCTGGACCAGAGTGGCCCACCACTTGAGACGGTGAGCGTTGGTGGAATCCGACCAGAGCGGAAGGAGGGTGGCAGCTTCCTGGGTTATTGAAGAGGGATGTGCAGGCTGGGAGACTACAGTTTCCATCAACCCCTGCTGGCTAGGGATCATGGGAGTTGGGAGTCTAATGTCATTAGGGGGATACTCGCCTTTGTGGGGGGAGAAAAGGTGGCCGTTTCTAATAAAGTTCTGTGAGATATTGGCCTTGATCCCACTGAGGATTTAGGACACATGTTTGGTGTAATAAAATACTGTACAACACAATGCAATAAAAATAAAATAAATCATGCAGGGAAATAGTTGTTAATGAATGAGTTGTTGCTGGCATTCCTGGTCACGTGCTAGTCTCACAATCCGGCTAGTGACTAGGAAATCAAGTGGCCACTCATTAATTAGCAGAAACTTGCCACCGTGATTTACGCAGCTACACTTTACACCAGCATAAATCCACAAGTTTCTGGCCATCCTTAGGACACAGGACACAGTTAGGAACTATGGGAACTGTAGTCCATCAGAATTGAGGACACACACCCAATTCCTGTATTAAGTGAAAGGGGCTTTTCAGATTTTGGACTTCGGAAGAAGGGGGAAAAAATCACACTCGGCAACACGGATCCGGTCTCACGTCTCTTCAAAATCTCCAGCTTTCGGGGGCTCAGGGTAGATGAACCCCAAATGGGATAGACAGGCAAACGTTTGCCACCACTGCCTTAAGCTTCAGAGAGTATCCCGCCAGAGGAAAGATTCTTCGGCAAGGGCAAAAATTCTGGGAAAGGTTGAGGGCAGAAGGGAAAGAGGAAGACTTAATGCGAGATGGACCGGCTCCCTAAAGCAGTGGTTCTTAACCTTTGTTACTCAGGTGTTTTTGAACTGCAACTCCCAGAAACCCCAGCCAGCAGAGCTGATGGTGAAGGCTTCTGGGAGTTGCAGTCCAAAAACATCTGAGTAACAAAGGTTAAGAACCAGTGCCCTAAAGCAGTGGTCCCCAACCTTGGGCCTCCAGATGTTCTTGGACTACAACTCCCAGAAGCCTTCAGCACCACCTCTCCTAGCCAGGATTTCTGGGAGTTGAAGTCCAAGAACATCTGGAGGCCCAAGGTTGGGGACCACTGCCCTAAAGGACCTTTTGAGTTTGCAAGAGATGAGCAAATTGTTGAGGACAGGACATTTTCCGTCGGTCGGAGATGGCTTAACAGCACATAACAACGCTCTTCCATCCTAACAACTAGTCCAGATATCACAAATGTACCCTCTCTGTATTTTTTCATGGACGTAGACCGCCCAGGTTGCATCTCGCCCAACAAGCCAACTTTGGCTTCCAGAAAACCGCCGGTTAGATGTGAAACTCCAAGCCCTTAATCCTTTTGGTAGGGGAAAAACAGGGTCTTGAGCCGATTAGGACAAAGGCCTGCATAGGTATAATTTGGGTTTGCTTTTTTTAAAAACCGCAACATTGATCCAATGTTAGGAGATTTTAGCTTCTCAGAATGGGCTCTGATCTGCTTGAGTTCTCAATTTTTCCCCCACCCCGAAACACCCCATGGGTTATGTTCGTGACAAGGGGGCAGAGCCCCCCCCAATCAAAAGTGGCGTTAGTAAGAGACGAGCAGAGCATGCCTGTTGGAAAAAGCCATTAAGAAGGAATTAGTTTCAAGGAGGGAGGGAGACGGGCATCTGGGCAGCAGCAGGAGGACTTGGGTTTATTTCTTGTTTATTTATTTATTGTCTTTTCCTTTTTTAAAGAGAAGGAATTATTTATTGAAGCGGAAGCCACACTTACCAAAGGTATCTGAGTGTAATAAAAGAAACCAGGAAAGGAAAAACAAAATAAAGGAGAGCGTGGTTATAATCCAGTTACTTTTGAAAGAAAAAACAAAAACAAAAAACCCACATACAACACAATATACACACAGACACGCAACGACACGACAGGATTCATAGAAGGTTGTGATACATAAAAGCAGAGGTTGTGATACATAGAAGCTGAGACGTGGATTTCCAAAGGGTTGCAACCAAAGCAGACCTCTGGGCAAACCAGAAAGGCATATGGAGTAGAGTTTGGGGGATCTTTTGGGACGGATCCTGACGGGGGCCTGCGCCCGGTAGTGCCTGTCCAGAAAGGCGGGGGCGGGGCGGGGGGAATTGCACCTTTTTATCCCTCTGTCTCATTCTGCATCTTGGAAAGGTTTCATTTTGCCCGCATTAAATGACAGCTATCACATCCTGTCCATTTTTTGGAGAGGGGAACACTTCTGTTTCGTTCCCGAAATGTGATGAAGACTTCTGTATGAAATCAAAAGCCTGCACCTTTCTCACAGGACAGGAAAACACGGTGAGCCCTCTAGTGCCCTTTGCTGGGGGTCAATTTGAGACCATCGGGTGCCAGAGCCAGCCCGGTCTTCTCGTCCGACTCGCTATGGATGGATTGCAGCTCGTTGCCTTTAGCTCTCGCCATATGTTGGAAGGCAGCTGTGCAAAGGAGCCCCCACTTTAGGAGCCCTCAGAATGCCTGCCATGGTCCCCATCGTTTTATTTAGAACAATGAGGTCTAGAAGCATGGCTTAATTTTAAGCAGAATGGGTTCATTCGCACATTTTCGACAACGGAGTTCCTGGGCTCCAACTCTGAAATCATACAACAGGCAGAGGATAAAACGCTGGAGAATTGTTGAGAGGGATGTCCAGGGGGTGTAGCGTATATATATATTTAGCTGAATAGAAGAAAGGTTTAACGCTGGATTAAGCAGTACACACACTCTCACAGAGAGAGGGAGGACACACAACGACACACTCGCAGACGCAGAACAGGGACACCGGAAGGGAAGCGAAAATGCCAGACCAAAAGGGACAAATTCACAGAATCGAACACAATCGTTCTGGCAGATGGACGGATGGATAGGCAATGGATGAAACACGTCCACCCCTTCAAAGGCCTCTGCTCCGGGAACGCAGCTCAGGTACTGAGTTCGAATCCATTCTTCAGCACGGTGCATTGAACCCGGGACGTGCCGAGTACCCCAAGGGACGGCGAGACGAAAAGCCCCTTCCAGCTCCGTCATTCTGCGATTGAGTGCAATTAAGCACGAATCCAGCATTCCACGGGAGTAAAAGCATCTCTTCACATGCCCCAGGCTACCCATGTCATGACCGGGCGCACAAGGCCCATTGGGTCCGGGAAACAGCTACGGCGACAGGATTTTACCCATGACGAGAATTAAAAACACGCACACATAACTCGACGCCGACATTTCCAAAGGAAAAAAAGCAGAAATAACCCATCAGGACGGCAACGCTGCCATGTGGCCGGTGGAGGCACAGTTTTGAAAAGAAAAACAGTCATGTTGTGGGGCTCTTAAAGCAGCGGTTCCCAAACTTAGGGGTGCCCAGAGGTTCTTGGACGACAATTCCCAGAAGCCTTCACACCACCAGCGGTGCTAGCAGGGTTTCTGGGAGTCGTAGTCCTAGAACATCTGGGGACTCAAGGGTTGGGAAACCCTGCCCGAGAGGCATCAAATTCCATGTAACACTGTCCCTTTTAACACGTTCCTTCCAAGCTGAGGTCTGGGGGACAAGCTGCAGGAAGGAGAATTACTATTCTGTGCATAGACATCTTTCAGTGTCTATGTGGGGGAGCTAGAAAGATAATCACAACAACAACTCGTCTGAACCACACTGCCATCTCCCCCACTCCCCAAAAACCGGGCTTCTCAAACCACAAGCCACAGCCTTCTGCGTCAGGGAAAAAAAACCCAACACCTCAGATGTTCAAATCGCAGCATTAAGCTTGCACAGCGGATAGGCAAGAAAGTAACTTCTTTTACTAGGTGCCCACATCCACAAGCAAGCACCCGGCCCCGCGTGCATTTTCCGACACCGGGAGACGCTCTCGGCCCCGGGTTCCCCCGCCAGCTCGAAAGGTCCTCTTTACCTGATCTCAGCTGCTTTATCCTTCCGTTGCTCGCGCTGGGGTCAACAGGGAGGAAGTCTTTGAACCAGGCTATCTCGGGGTCAGGGTTCCCGCTGGCCGCGCACAGCATGGTAGCAGTCCGGGTGCGCTCCACCACCTTCAGCTGGGGTCCCATGTCAATGACCGGGAAGCCAGGAGGCAACTGGTCCTCTGTAAGGAAGTCAAAGAACACCAATTTAGCGGGGGGGTTAGAATACGTGGAACCTTCAGCTGGGTGTAGAAGAGGGCAGGCATGGTTCAGAGGGAGGAAGTCTTTGGTCTCACAAAAGGTGGCATTCACACTGCACAGTTATGGCAGTTGTATACTGCTTTAACGGTTGCGGCTCCCTCTAGTCCCAACCTTGGGTATCCCAGATGTTCTCGGATGACCACGCCCAGAAATCCTGACCAGCACAGCCAGTGGTCAAGGCTTCTGGGAGGTGGAGTCCAAGAACATCTGGGGGGCCCAAGGGGAGGAACCGCCACTCTCGTGAACAACCACAAAACTCTGTTTAGGGTGGCCGTCCTTCAGACTTGAGACGGGCTTCATCTTCAACTCCATTTCACTAGGTGCCTTGGGAAGCGGGGTGCTGGTGAGTTCCCCAGAGCTCCCGGCATCTCCCGAGGTCCTGCAGGATGGAACCAGGTGGGTTGAAGTGCTAGCAAAGGGATGCGCCTGCATCGTATGGAGACGTGTGCCATCTCTGTAAAGTCCCTTGGGAAGCACAGGGAAATTTCAACTCCCATGAACTCCCAGAATTCATGGGAAACTGGCCGGCCTTTGTCCCAAAAGGCAGTTCCTAGGCCAGAAAGAAAACCCTAGCCTTAAATCACTGGGGCTGGATACTGTATAAGGAAACTAATGTACCATATAATACATGCTAAGGGTTCTTGGCTCAACCATGGAAAGTAGACCGTGCATTTGTTTTAAAGGCTTACAGGAAAACTTAGAGCATATTTCTGATCCAATACAGATGAGAACAATTATTCTGCTGGACTCTAATTCCCAGAACCCCATGCGAGCTGCTTGTCTACATCAACAATTACTTATGAAGGGAGGGAAGTGTTTTTCCACAAATACTCAGCTTCAAAAATGCCATCCCTGTGAAAAATAACCCACATTTATATTAGGAATGTTTTCTGCACCCTAAAACAAAAGCGATGTTATTTGCTGGATGTTTCTGATAACCGCCTTGAGCATTCTGAAGTTCACACCATCATAAAATCACAGAAAATCACAGAATAACTGAGTTGGATGGGGCCGCTAAGGCCACTGACTCCAAGCCCACCCCCAATCAAGGCAGGGATCCAAATCCAAGGAGCTCAAACAAGACAGTTGCCCAATTTCCTCTTGACCGTCTCCAGCGTTGGGAGCGCTCACCAGCTCCCAAGGTAAACCGGTTCCCTTGTCGTACTGCTCTAACAGTTAAGAAAGTTTTCCCTGAGATTCGGCCAAAATCTGGCTTCTTGTCTCTTGAGTCCATTGTGGTGTGTCCTGCACCCTGGGAGGATCGAGGATAAATCCTGCCCCTCCTCTGAAGGACAGCCTTTCAAGTCTTTGAAAAGTGCTATCATAATTCAATGCTTTCATCACCATTGGGGGGGAGGGGAATCCGTTCGGATGACGAGCGTTTGAGAGGTTTTCAACGCAAAATAAAAACAGCACCTCTTTCCTTATGCCACTGATTATTTTCCAAGTGTATATACAGATATAAACACATATGTGCCCAAAGCAACATTACTGTTTTGGGTGGAGCCACCTGTCTGTTCCACCTTATTGGCTAGAAGTGACATCATCTTGCAATGTCTTTACGTTCTTTGCACGACTGGCTGACACCAACCCTGTTCTGGCCCCAACGAGCAGTTATTAATTTCTCCCACTAATTAATCAGCTGAAAGAGACCGACCCAACGAGCAACCAGCCTCCTGGACAGGAGGGGCGTTTTTTTACACACGAGCTTCTGCATGTACAGGAGGGAAAGATTTAGAGACAGCGTGCCAGCGGTGGAACGGAGGACGACGTGAGACAGTCATTATTAACTGAGGGTTCCTAATTAAACAAAAACGTTAATCTTGCGGCACCTTGTGCTGAATTCCTCGGAGTTTAATTAAAACAACGGAGGCTGGAGGCATCCTCAGATAGGAGATGAGCTGGGGGCGGGGCGGGCGGGGAGGCTCCCAGGACGGTGTGTCCTGCCAACTCCGGAGGGGCCAGAAGGTGGGTGGGCGCAGGGGCGTTGACACGGCAACAGCATCACGCCCTGACTGTGGTACCTCAAAGAGGAGGATTCTACAGCACTGGAGAATTTAAAGGGCACCTGTGAGACTGGCAAACCCCAGGCCAACCCTGGCAGCCCCACCGGCTCTGGGCCTTGACGGCCAAATAGATGCTCAGGCGACAAGCTACGGTGCTAGAAGTCTGACCTCAAGACACACCCATCTCAGTGGAGAGTCATGTCATGCCCAAGGACAGAGCTGGTGCACACACAGAAAATCCTCCAATTCCGAGATGAAGGGGGCACGACCCCGCTGGGGCCCCAGCGCCACCCTCCAGCCAGTCCACCTGCCCCAGAGCAGGCACACCAACCACAGCTGATCGCTTGGCACAGGAAGAAGAACAGAGTCCACAAAGCCAGAGGTGGGGTGGGGTGGGGTGGGGAACAAGCTCAATAAAGAGGAAGTATAAAAGGCTGAGTTTTGAAGGTCGTCGAAGGGTTTGCTCAGCTGAAGGTGTTGGTTCACTTGAAACTGTCTAGGACACTGCAATGCCTGGCAGGTGGCAGGGAGGGAGGAAGTAAAGTTGATGGAAGAAAGGAGCTGATGATGGAAGGAAGGGAGGGAGGGAGGAAAAGAAGGGAGCTAGCTGGAAACCGGGGCTTCTCTCCCTTGATCCTGGAGATGGTGAATGGGGCAGGAGGGCAAGGCAGCGTTGGAGGAAAGGACGGGAGAGGGCCAGAAGGGAGGCGTGAAAAGAGGAACACGGGGCAGGGGCGAAGGCCAGGGGGAGACAGCAGAGGAGTGGCGGAAGACGAACCGGACAGGCCGTTCCTGAAAAGCAGAGGCTCATGGCGTCCCTCTCTGGCCCTTTCATGCAGCCCAGAAAAAAACAGCAGAAGGTCAAAAGGAGACCTCCGTAAGAGGAGAACCGCTCCAAAGGGTGAGAGAGCCAGAAAGGACTGGCTGGGTGGGAGAATTTGAGGACGGCTTTTGCCCAGGTAGATGTTATCTGGAATGGGCGAGTGACTTCTGTTTGCTGGGGTTTCGTTCGGCTGTTAAATCCTGCCGGATTTACAGGCCCAACACCAGCCCGTTGCTATTTAATGCAACGATAAAAATAAAATAGCGCTGGAATCTGTGCAATTACTGATGTTGTTACTGCAAGTATTTTTAACGTTGTCTTTCAATTCTGGTTCCCAGGGCGGGAAAACCAAGAGGAGCCGGGCTTCCCCACCTCCCCAGATGTTCACGGTGGAATGCTGCAACCCACACAAGAGTTGCAGCCAGGATCACCTTCAAGAACATTTAGCGCCTTCGTTGTCTGCTACGTTACACCCACACGGACCAAAAAAGAAAAAAAAAAAGGCAAAACAATGCAATAAAAACAAACACAGGAGTAAAAAGCTGAAAATTAGAGAGCGCTCCAGCAAGGGAAAGAACCGTAGTGATCCTCTAAAAGCTTTGGTTTTGGTTTAGAAAAAGAGGGAGTCAAGTGGGGCAAAGCAGGGCTAATCCCATCCTGCCCCGAGAGCAGAATTGGGCCCCTCATTCACCCCGATTTAAGAAACGAATCTCAATTTCTGCATATGCAGGGCACGGAGTGACAAATTCTACCAAGGGGCCAGAATCCTGCCACAAATCTCACGTGCATAAGGGAAATTCAAGGAGGGGTCTTGGTAATTTTCTGGGTATGGGTCAAATGCCTGGCTGTGCCCCCTGGCTATGCAGTACTCAGTAGGATGGGGACCATTTTGTATTATTACTATCTGTGCTTTCCCAGTTTTATCTATCTGGGCTTTCTCAGTTTTATCTATCCCGGCTTTCCCTGTTTTATCTATCTGGGCCTTCCCAGTTCTATCTATTTATCGGTTTCTCTGTAAGTCGGACAAGAAAAAGAACCTCCTAGATTCTGGGTTTTGGAAAGAGAGAGATTTTGCGGGCTGTTGCTCCCGCAGTCTCCTGCAACAACATGCAAAACTTAGCAGTCATGTGTTGTCAACGTTGATGCAAAATCCAACAGCAATCAAGTTCCAGGGAAGAGGCCACACAACCATTTGCAGAACAGCACAATGGCGTTCTGGTGGGAATCTATACTCTGTTTGGGTTACCAGAATGTAAACCTACAAGTTGCAGAAGAGTGTGTGTCTGTGTGGTGGTGGGGAGGAATGATAGAAAGAAAGAGTCTTAATGAGCCCAACCCCAAAATGGCATTCTGAAGTTCGGCCAGAAAAACCGAACGGACCCTGCAAGTCTTGCACCCAGTCTGTTGAAGGGATAGAGCGCACCAGTGCAGCGCAAAGCCGCTCAATCATGCCAGGAATTCAAAGCTGGCCTATTTGAAGAGGCAAGAGTGTAAAGCTTGCTGGCCCTTTCATCAAATGTGCCAGTTTGGGTGCTGCAGTTGAGATGTGCATTCATTAACTGGAGCGCCACAGTAATTAGCACACAGCCTAACAAGGCCTCAAGGGAGCCCCGTGTGGTGGGGTGAGGGGGAGAAGCTAGCCATGATGCTTGCCACTGGGAGGGGGCAGCTAGTGGGGCCATGATCCTTGTCAACCAGCGCCCCTCGCCTGATCCCTGAAGTTCAGCGGAGCTGCTACGACACGGGAAACCATGTGCAGCTTCTGCACCCGACCCCGGCCTGCAGACATGCGCCGTACATGTGAACGCAGCGAAGCAGCCGATTTCTTCAGAGGTCAACCGGCTAACATTCCAGCCTTAAACCCTCCCAACCGAAACCCTGAGTGTTGTTTAAGAACCCACTGGTAGCATCGTTTGGTGTGGGTTTTTTAAAAGTAAAAAATGGTTTAGGGTTTTTCCCCCCTCCCCATTTACCTCTCAGGACGGTGAGTTTTGCGCTGATGGTAATTTCGGCGACGGTGTTCTGGGCCACGCACTCATAGACATTTTCGTCCCTGGGGGTGCGCAGGGGCTGGATCCGCAGGACGGCCCCCGCGCCCTCGTCAAACTCGATAGTCTGGGATGGAGGGAGGCAAAGGACAAGAAAAACTTACAAGGATATTGTGTGTGTGTGTAAGAGAGAGAGAGTAAGATGTGCTGGAAGGCTGAAGAAGGATCATCCACTTTGATACACAAAGAGGTCGACGGAAGAAGCAGAGTGGTTTTTGGGGCTTGGGTCGAGTCGAGGCCCTGCAGCTGAGTTCTTGCAAAGCAGGCAGCTCAGCTCTTGCAAAGCTTCCCTTGATTCTTATCAGAACTCAAAATTTAGAAAAATGGATTACCGTCCACAGTGCAATAACAACAACAACAACAACAATGATGGGCCATCAAGACTATTCTGACTTCTGGAGACCCTTTTTTTCAGGGTTTTCGGAAAGAAATTTTATTTATTTATTTATTTATTTACTAGATTTCTATCTAAATATGCAAAGTTCTGGGACATGTTAAGAGTAAGGCTTAAGAAGAGCATCTATACTGTCATCAGCCCTATTTCTTTATTTTCACAGAGATAGGCGGAGAGACAGTTTGCTTGTGGGGAAATACAGATTCGAACCCATGCTTCCTCGTCCATTCCAGCACTTTTCTCTCCCAGGTTCCATTTTGACAAGCAATGGGTTGAATTTTCTTTTCAAAACCCCACAAAACTCTACAGGCAGAACCTTGCAAACGCCGCTTACCTCAAACCGCTGAGAATTCACCTTCTTCCCCTTCTTGTTCCAGGTCACGCGAGGTTTCGGGTCCCCTGTGGCTTGGCAGACGAAGGACGCCACCCCACCGGAAACCCCGATCTGATCCACGGGAGTCTTGATAAACACCGGGGGACCTTGACCCAGAAAAAGAGGGAAAGAAAAAGAAAAAAGGATACTTAATCAATGGGATGAGCTGGCGCAGGAGATCTCGAATTGTGTCTTTCCAGCAGGAAAAGACACGATTCGAACTCTTGCCCTGGCTCCACAAACAAGTGCTCCAACCCCACTGAGTGACAGCAGGTCCCTCGGAGCTTTCTTTCCCATCTGATCAACCAAACCCATTTCTATTTCTCTTCCTTTCTGTACCTAGCCACTCTTCCTTCTACCTGTTAGGAGTTTTTGGAAACCGCTGGTGATCTACACTCTCAAGAAATTAGAGAGCATGGGAGTTTGGTGGACTACAGCTCCCATCAGCCTTGGCCAGCTGGCCCACCCTGGCTTGGCCTAATGGGCTTTGCAATAAAAAAAATGTAAAGAGTTTTTACAACCTCGCATGCTGCCGGTGGTTTGAGTGACTGGGAGGGCCCTTTTCTAGGCTGGGGTGACTGTCAATCTATCCAACACTAACCAATCATTTCCTCCTGCCTCTAGATTCAAGCAGAGCCCCGCCTCTCTGCTGAGTGTTCCTCTTCCCTCTCTTAGTCTATTGCAGTCCAGGTTGTCTGTCTGCTAGTTTGCTGTTGATCTGTTCACAACTGTAAGTAATGAAAGATTTTTATTCTTTCTACTGACACCTTATATGTCTGTTAATGAGAAACTCTGCTCACGGCCTGGGTTCAATCCCAGGTAGCCGGCTTGAGGTTCATTCAATCTTCCATCTTTCCAATTTCAGTAAACTGAATATCCAGCTCACCGGGGTGGTGGTGCAATATACAGCCTGCATAATTTGCAAACCACCCAGAGAGTGTTTTAAGTGCTATGGGGCAGTATGAAGCCAGATTTCAGTTGAATACGGTCGGGGCCAAGTGTCGTTCCTTGCGCTTCCTTTCGAAGAAACGGAGAGGCATTTTAGGGCACAGCTGGAGCTCGGTTATTTTAATATTTCACTAAATTTTCAAGCTGACGAGACGGGGGAGCGCCGCAAAAGTACAGCTTGGCACAACTGATCCCCCAGAGATGCCCAATTCAGCCTCTGCCTCCAAGCCCAGTCCACGAGACCCACTTTTTAGTGGCTTCAGAGAAGCCCCAAAGCAGGAAACTGTGGTTGTTGAACATCAGGGTGAGACGGGACTCGCCAGGAAAGACCATCACGTAGGAAGGGAGGAAGAGCCAATGTGAGATGGGCTGACACCATCAAGGAAACCACGACCTCGACTTCGCAAGAATGGAGCCATGCCGTTTGGAGATCGCTTCTCCAGAAGAGGCCGTAAGTCGGAGGCAATGGGAGGCCACGTAATGACCACAACCCCAGTAAACACCCAAATATGACATACACACAGCTAGTCTGTGATCCTGATCGCCTTCTCCTACCACCCCTCTGATCCTTGCCGCCATATTCCTAAGAAAGCGAACGAAAGGGGCAGGAGATCTGAGGGCTGGACCCCCGAGATATTCTCCCACCATCCTCTAACTGGAAAAGTAACTAGAACGTTACACAAATCAGATTGTCCCAACTTCAGTTACCAGTGCTGATGTTGTTATGCCTCAGCTATTGCAAGAGGACACAAATTACAAGCAGGGAATGATTTGTCGGGTGTCCAGCCTGAACTCTTCTGCTCCCGGAGGGGCCCGATCCTCAGGGCCAGCAAGAAAGAGTCCTATCAGGGCATCAGGTCACCCGGTTTTGAGGGGGGGGGATCCAAAGCCAAAATCTGAGAACAGTCCAACGTCAAGCCGGTCTGAGAAAGAAGCTGAGGGGGGAGTCCAAGAAGCATATGATGACGGTGGTTCTCCCCCCTCCCCCCCAAAGTCTGGAGACACAGAAAGCAAGATCAGAAATCGAGAAGGACAGGAGAGCAAAAATAAAAAATAAAAACAAATCATCTCGCAAGACTGGGATGAGACTTCTCCGGCTGAGCAGCGGGGAGCCCGAGCTAGAACTCCGGCTGCAGGTGTTTGTTTGGGTGAGAGGGAAAACATGCTCCACTGTAGGACTGTTCCTCCTGTGGTCTCCTTGGGAGAAAGCACTTTCAGGAGACCCTCTGGCTTGGAAGAAACCTCTTGTCCCAAGGAGACTTCCTTCCCCCATACACACGGAGGACACAAAATTTTTCACCTAGCCAGACTCCCCACCCCCCATAAGTGCAGCATCCTTGCAAGCTGGAAAAGCTGGTCCTCTCCCCTCTTTTTTTGAAAAAAATATTTTTATTGCATTTTTTCTACTTGTATTTTTTTTCTCTGTCTCCTCTTTCAGCTGCCTTGGCACCCTGGAGTTCCAAAGGGCGTCCAGAGACTGTGGCACCGAGTGGTTCCTCCTTGAAGAAGCAGGTCTGGGCACAGGGCGTGACCCGACTCATCGGGATGTCCCAGTGGACGGCTGCCACCTTTGGGGAGGGGGGAGAGAATGTTTATATTTCTTGGACTACAAATCCCATCATCTCACTTTTGGGGAGCTCAAGCTGATACACTGGCACCCTACAGATGCTTATAATATGGCTGGCCCATAAGAGAGGCCTCAAGTGGAAGGTTTGGAGGTAGAGCTAGGCCGAGCGCCGCTCACGCCTCCTGTTCCTGCCCCAGAGCAAGCTGGGAGATTTCTTTCTGGACAGGAAGCTAGGCCGAGCTAAGCTGCCCAGACGAGGCCTTTCAACCCAGGTGAGCCACACTGAGGTGTCTATCAGGCAGAACTGGAGGAACACAAAATTATGGGGGTTACAATCCACAAAAATATGAAAAGCCCATCTATACCCATCTCATCTGCCTTGTTTCTGTTTTTTGATTTTTAAGAAGCAGCAGCAGCAGCATTTTCTTCCCAGCTGGCAAGAATAATTATGGAAACAAATGGGAAAGGATCAAATTAAACCAAAGCCGCACATCGACTCTTCCGCAAGCCAAGTCTTGCAGAAAAATCAAGTCCAGGAGGGCCTTTTCCATGTGAAATCTTTTGCCTTGGTGGGTTTAGAGGGAAGGGAAAAAAGGATGTCTCCAAATAAGTGGTGAATTCCACCCCCTCCATCTTCCAGGGTTAGAAATCAAGAGTGGTTGAGTGGTTCCACACCTCGTCTCTCGAACTCTGACCCGCCTCACGCCCTCAAGCGTGTTCTGTTCCTGTTGCCAGCTTCAGCACAGCGGCCACGCCAGGAACGCCTGACAAGGTTGGAACGCTCCATGCTTGGACCCACTGTGAAAGAAACTACAGTACTCTTCAAACACAGAAAGAGGCTTTGATCCATAAACCCAAACTGGTTCTAGCACTTTTTAACCCAGTGAGGAGCCGGGCTTTTGTAAACCAAACGGCTCTTGATTACCTGTTTGAAACCAAGCCACAAAATATTTCGACGGATCAAAAGGCTTTTAAAGGTCTAAGACAGGCCCTAATGATGATGAAATAGGGGCAGATCACATCACAATATTTGTCAATAGTCCCGGAATTTCCCGCAGCACTTAGAAGTGTATGATTTCCCAGTAATATATGACGGTTCCATCACTAAAGAAAAAAATCACACTCATATAAAATGTGCAGATAAATATCTAGCTTTAATTCACTTTGTAATATGGTAATTAACATGTTGAATTGTTTAGTTTGGGGGGAAATATTAATTTAAAATTCCCAGAAATGGCCAGTAATGAATTAAAGTAGCAGGAAATATTCATTATTACGGAAAGATAACATCATTGGTGGTATCTTGTAGTTAAGAACTCCACTATTAAACTAGCACATTTTAACAGCTTCAGGGAATTTTTAAAAAATGAATTAGAGGCAATAAATTAAAATTCAGGGAATTTTGTTTTGCAAGCTTGGGATTTTAAATAAAGAAGAGAAAAGTGGAATTAAAATGTATTATAATGTACCGGTAATTATATAAACTCCCCACCACCACTACCTTATTACAACCACATGCAAGAGTTAAAACAAGGGGAGTACAGAGCACGAGAAGAATGAGGGTATGGTTTAAAAAATATCAAAATTAGACCCTTTCTTGGAAACTCACTGGATGGGACGCTGATTCCGTATTCAGAAAGAGTGTGCCCTTCAAAGAGAAAAAAAAAACTGTGTATTCTGTCACAAGCATTTCGCTATTCAGCTTGCTTATGCTCTGCAACTGGTCAAGAGAGACTACACAGCCTTGGATGGAGACAGAGCAATGAAACCTTTGCGTGCCTAAAGGGACAATATTGTTTTTATTTTAATTTTCTTTTCCTTGCTAGAACCACCTTTGCTTTGCCTTCAGTTTAAGCCTGGCACAAAACTTTAACTTGGGCTGCATGAAGAAAACATATGACTTTTTAGCACTGGGGCTGCTCCTCACCCCCCTCCCCCCAAAGCTAGGTGAAGGATCTGTCCTACCAGGATGGTGAAACCAAACTCTGTACTGTAGCTAAGAAAATAAAAATCCAACGGGCCACCAGACTAAAACCCTGGTTCAAATGCTGGTGAAAAAAATACAAATACATGTAGGTTTCTTTAAAGAGTGCTCTTCGCGCCCACCTCGTTTCTGCTTCTGGGATGGAAAGTCCAGAGTTCAAATTCCGCTGATTAAGAAATGTAGGATTCTGCCAAGTCTTACAGTGAACCTGGCAGGGTTTTCAAAGTATATGAGATATTTTCAGGAAGGGCTTTATCGGCGCCACACCCCTGGTCAGTTTCCATGGCCAGCCTGAGATTCGAACCCAGGTCTCTGAAATCAGAGTTCAGTGCACTCTCAGCGAAAACCACCCTGGCTCAGTCATGCACTATTCTCTTAAAAATGACCCCTCTCGGAAAATGTGATGCTACCCCAGAACCCCCCAGTTCTTGACACCCAGAACGTCCGATTAGAAATGTTAACTTTTCATAATGCAGCAGGGTCAGGCTGCTCAAAATACCGGGGGGCGGGGGAGAGGGAAATAAGGTTCACAATTCAGCCTGCGGTTTCCCAAACAGACTACAACTCCCATCTGCCTGAACCAACTTCGTCAACCGGGGATGATGGGA